AGGAAATCCAGTTAATTATAAGCCAGAGACAGGGAAAAGGAAAAGAATAGAAAAAGATAAGCCACATAGACAGTCATCAGCATTAGACTGGAGGGACTACTTAGGTGACAAAGCACACTTTGTGCCAAGCAATATTATCAGAGATGAATAGAGCATTTTATGTTATGAAGGAGCTGATTCACCAAGTATGAAATGTACATGCCCCAACTTACAGAGCTTCAAAACAATGAAGAAAAACTGGTAGAACTGAAAGAGCCACACATAAAAAAGACTCTCGACAGTTTCAACACTGTTTTCCCAATAATTTACAGAACAAGAGAAAAATCAGTGAAAGTATAAAGACTGGAACGCAATCAACCAGTGAGACAAATGAAATTTATATTACCATGTAGCCAGCAAAAGCCAATATTTTTCATGTTCTGGGCCACAAAGCAAGTCCCAATAAATTTATAGAAATTAAAATCATGGAGTTTCTGTCTGTTTCTAATGAAATTAAAAGAAGAATCATTTTGAGTGTTTTGCCTGTGCCTGCAAGTATCTAAGTGTACATGTGTCATGCAATGCCTGTAGAGGCTGGGAGAAGGTGTCCGATCCCCTGGAGCTGGTGTTATGGATGATTGTTAGCCACCATGTGGGTGCAGGGAACTTAACCCAGGTTCTCTGCAAGAACAGCCAGTGCTCTTAACTATTGAGCTCTCTCTCCAGCCCTGGGAATCACTTTTTTAACTTAAAAAAAGCTTTTTATGTGTATGAGTGTATTGCCTGCATATATGTAAGTGCACCTGTGTCATACAATGCTCATGGAGGGCAAAAGAGAGCATCAGAGCCCCTGGAACTGGAATTATGGATGATTGTTAGCCACCATGTGCATATTGGGATTAGAACCTGGGTCCTCTGCAAGAGCAGCCAGTGATCTTAATTGCTGAGCCATTTTCCATTTTCCAGAATTAGTTTTTAAAAGGTATCAGGAAAAGGGACCAAGATTCTAAAAGTAACAACACATAACCCTTTGGTCAAAGAAGAAACGGCAGGATCAATCAGAAAATATTCTGAAGTGACTGAAAGTCAAATACAGAAGACCAAAATGTGTGAGAGACAGCTACAGAGGCACTCAGAGGAAAAGTTAGAAAATTGAATGCTTAATTTCAGCACTCAGGAGGCAGAGACAGGCGGATTCCTGTGAGTTTGAGGCCAGCTTGGTCTAGATAGTGAGTTCCAGGCCAGCCAAGGCTACATGGTGAGACCCTGCCTGACACAAACAAATAATAAACAACCACAAAACTGTGACTGCTTAAATTTAAAGAATGTTCTCAAATTGGGGACCTAAGTCTCAAATTAGTGACCTAAGTATCTATCT